TACACTGATCACATGAATTTCTTTTGTCCCCAGTACATTGATCACACTGCAGTAGTGGCCACATTTTCCTTTGTCTCCAGTACATTGATCACACTGCAGTAGTGGCCACATTTTCCTTTGTCTCCAGTACATTGATCACATTGCAGGAGTGGCCAAATTTTCCTTTGTCCCCAGTATACTGATCATACTGCAGTAGTGGCCACATTTTCCTTTGTATCCAGTACATTGATCACACTGCAGTAGTGGCCACATACAGATTTGCGAAATTAAAGTTCTTAATTAACTGAATAAAAAAAATTTCAAATGCTATTGGTTTCTTTGGTTCTAGTGAGGTCATGAATGAATATATTTACACACGTATCTTTATGGTTTACTATTACATAAAGAATGTCTTTACTAAATTACAGTGTATTTATTTCTCCGTTTTTGATTTACGCTACCATATCTCTGATTTTCTATCCCATTTGTAGGACATGATCCTTATTCTGGCTAGCGAACAAAATGCGTGAAACTTCAGTGATCCCTAAAAATTCACTGTTTTCCGTCATTTTAATGAATAAATTATAACAGCTCGATTTTATGACCAAAAAAAATAAACTCTGTATCCCGAGTGCTTTCCAAAAATAGACCTCTTTTTATCAGAGGCAAACTAGGATTTTAATGGTATAGTCCTACCCGCGGCAATTGAATGGATTAGCACGACCTATGAGATTTTAATGGATATTTTCATGGGCTAATCCTACTTTCTGTATACATGTCTCCCCCCAGAGAAAAAAAAACATATTTTATTACCCATGTGTTTTTCTTCTTTCTTCTAATAATCACGAGTTTGCGTCCCTCGCTTATTTCTAAGCCGGTTGTCATAAAATTTAAAGGACAATAGGCCCAAGTATTATTATTATTTTTATTTATGCACCACTTCCGGATCTAGGAAGCTCAAGCTCAAACATTACAAGAACATAATTTAGCCTACAGTTCTATTGTATTTTGATCAATCCCAGTTTCACAAAGTTAGGGATTTTGGCCTGCTTTTTCTTTGTATTTTGATCAATGTGGATGAGACTTTGCTATACGATACATGAGACACACATATTTCTGATACTTATTTTCCTAACTGAACCTAGAGGCATTAGCTACACCTGTAAATGCTACAAGGAATTATTATTAACAGTGTTTTGATTAACACAATAGATGAAGTTGAATATGCCGTGTCAAAGAATAGGTTTTATTAGGTTGTTACTTTCGACTTACTAAGCTCATGTTAGTGTGACTTTCTAAAGTGTAATTCTGATTATTTTATTACTCTGTTATCATAATTCTAGTAAGTATTTACATACGATTTACATTTAAATTCCATGCACTATCTGTAACATAACCGTTGAACACCTAAGATCAAAACGTAAGCATAATCGTTGTACACGTAAGATCAAAACATAAGCATTACCGTTGTACACCTAAGATCATAACATAAGTATCAACAAGTGAGAATGTGTCATTCCGTAGTAATCAAATAACAATGGAAGGAAAAAAAATACTTGTTCTTATGTGATAATAGTCATGTATCTCATCAATGTTATAAAACGTCATTAACAGCTAAGGGTTCCAGCATTTAAGAAAGCTACAAAAACTTAGCATACATAAATACAATACATTTTGAAGCTGCTTTCATAATTGAATCCAGATCACCCACACTTTACTAATAAGATTTATGCGCATTGATTTTTACCATAGCTTGTATATCATATAACAGCTTTATTCTCTCGTTTCTTAACCCTAAACATTAGACAAAACACTACTTGTAAACAGAACTACATACATGTCTGCAATTTTGTTACCACCCAAAGAAACATTTATTATCGATTCAGAATGTTAAACTGCACGACGTCAGAAACTCATCAGAAGAAATTTGCTAAACCAATTGGCACAAAAATTCGAAAAGTTTTGGCAACGAGGTAACATATTCAAACATTATATATTACATGTTTGTGTGTGTGTCAAAGCATCAAATATATGTCTAAAATACTTTTTTATCACTAAACTTAATATTTTGTGAAATACTGTATATATGACCTCTATTTTGTCCCATATTTTACAGTGCTAAATAATTGCTTTGTTTAATATATAAACTCTACAGAAATAATAGCCTTCTAAATTAGTGTAACACTATTTCAAACATAAAAACATAGAAATAACACAAAATAAGATAGATTTGTTTGTTTGTTTGAAATTAAGCACAAAGCTACACAACGGGCTATCTGTGCTCTGCCCACCACGGGTATCGAAACCTGATTTCTAGCGTTGTATGTCCACAGACATACCGCTCTGCCAATGGGGGCAATAAGATAGAAACACAAGGTTCTGCTCTGTTAGGTTCAAACCTAGATCAACAAAATTATTAACAGCAAAGTCAATGTTTCAGTAAGTTAAGGGTTAACAAATATTCTCATCACGGCGTCAGGATAAAATAAAATACGACTGGAAACATTATATTTTGATCACCGAATACGATTTTTAAAAACTATGTAAACATACATATGTGTATGTATGTGCTTTTCCTTCTTTTCTTACTGAATAATATAAAGTTACTGCATTCAAATTAATGAATGTTTTTTTGGATAAAATGTGATAAAAATACTTGTTTACACTTAGATCTTATTAACATTAAAACACTCTAAATTGTTATACTAAATCAAATTGTCATTTATATTTTGTATTGTATTTTGTAATTACGGCAGAGCTACTAAAGCTATCTGCCGCCGTTCCTAAGTGTGAACTACTAATCAGAGGAAAAGTAGCCATTGAGCAGCACCGTGCCATCTGTCATCTGTCAGTTGGTGGGTTACTCTAACCAAATAATGGGATTTGACTATCACGTTTCTAACGTATCCAAAGTTTAAAGTGCAGGAAATAAAGCATGGATTCGAACCATGCTCGCCAGCTCCGAAATCCACAGCTCTACTACAGGGTCAACCCATGTCCCTTGTCAACTACAGAATCTGTGGATCCGAAGTTTAATGGTTTACGTCCTCTTATCGCCCCCCCCCCAAGAAAAAGATTTGCGTTCCGCAATTTTTGACGTGGGTGTGTTATAAGAATGGCGGTCAAATCCCACTATTGGATTAGAATAACCCACCAGTTGGCAGTGAATGATTTTGACTAGCTGCCTTTCCTCAAGGCTATCATTTCAGAATTAGAGACGGCGAGCGCATGTAGCCTTCGAGTAGTTTTGCGCGAAAATCAATATAAAAACTGTTGTTAGCGTTTAAATATAGAAGTTTCAGTCAATAAATTTGTCATTTAATGTAACTCGCTCGGTAGAATCATTCAAGATAGTTTCATGTGTAGTTTGTTTGACAAATAATGGATGATGGAAGTTTAAATAAGCTTAAGAGAACGTGATGGTTTATTCACACTTTGGTTAATCCCAGTTTTAGCGTGATTAAAGTGATTTGATACATTGTTAATCAAACCAGTCTGTGCTCTAGATCTACTGGGATTGTTGTACCATTTTTGTTGTTCCTGGTGTTAGCGATAAGGCTCAAGCTTAGATCTTTATTCTTAACACGAGCTTACTTTCGATTCAAGCATCATTATTTGCCAGGATGATTCCTCTACCATTAATCAACGCGTACATCTTCGAAGCCTTTCTGCCCAATTATCTGCATGCGCAATAATGAGTAACACGTTTCCTCTATCGGAACTAAAACATAATAGAAACAGACGCCTTAAACGTAAGAGCTGTATGAACTTCTGGAACAAGAAAAAAGTTGGATTCAATACACGTTTCGCAGCCAATTAAAGAAGTTAAACACATTGATGACTGTTGTTATGTGTCGAACTAAGGATTAGTTGTGTGCTAATTAATAGTGCGATCTCATTAGTTATATTTATTACAATTTCTTTACTACAGATTGTCATTTTTTCCTTTTTTGATAAAGCACAAACTCTCATGAAACCTGAAGAAATTCATTGATTTCAAAAATATGAAACATTACATTTATAATATTTTTTAGCTGGTGAATATGTGTAACTCTAACACTAAGAAAAAGAACCCTGGGTAAAATATGTTTATCAACATGCGATTTGGATAAGGTTACTCAGTAAGTGATATATGGAACCTCTGTGTAGAATCACTGAATTTTAAGCTCTAATTAATCCAAACCACCAGAATTATTACAATGTACGTTACACTGTCTCCTTAATTATACTACTTAAAAAGTTTTAACGCAATGAATAACCTGGACTTTGGAAGCTAGTTAATACGGTAGTAATATTATTATATTTTACTGCAATATCTTGGGTTACATTCGAATATAGTTGTAAGCTGAATGTATTGTCATTGATTGTATTTCCTTGCCGTTTAGAAGACAGCTAGTTAATACGGTAGTAATATTATTATATTTTACTGCAATATCTTAGATTACATTCGAATTTAGTTGTGAGCAGAATGTATTGTCATTGATTGTATTTCCTTGCCGTTTAGAATACAGCTAGTTAATACGGTAGTAATATTATTATATTTTACTGCAATATCTTAGATTACATTCGAATTTAGTTGTGAGCAGAATGTATTTTCATTCATTATTTTCCTTGCCGTTTAAAAGACAGCTAGTTAATACGGTAGTAATATTATTATATTTTACTGCAATATCTTACGTAACATTCGAAGTTAGTTGTGAGCAGAATGTATTGTCATTGATTGTATTTCCTTGCCGTTTAGAAGACAGCCTTGTCAATTTTCGTTTAACATTCTTGTAAAATATCATACAGATTTGTAAATAAAATGAAATGTTACAATTTGTTTTGAAGTTATAAGTCAAATCCCAACATTTTGGGGTATAAGTGAATTGTTTAACTGAAGTTACCGTAAATCATTCTTTTTTTTATGTGTTGAGTTTCCATTTTTACGTAATGAATGATAATTTTAACACATATTTAAGCCTTATCCGATTGGGCATGTAAATATATGTCTGTTATTTACAAATTTCTTTTTTTCTCAGTCACCCTGGCCCAGAAAACCACAGATGCAACAGCTGAGGTTAGTATTCGTGATTTCTTAGTTTCCTGAACTTTTGTTTTGGTTCTAGTTCATATAAATAAATAAAATAATGTCTAAAAATAGATAGCCTTCTTAAAATAATCACAGAGCATGTACATTCTGTAATTATTCGTTCAAGTTAGGAAACATTGAACTCAACTTTACATTTATTTTACGATAAGGTTTGGATTGACTTTAAAATATGAATAAGCAAAAGAGATGATTAGCATAGGGTGTCACAGATCTAAAAGTCAGATTCTAACCTTAGGTGACATTTTAAAATTATTCATAATGAAATAGAGATTATGTTCTGTTTTACAGAGTTTCTAATTTCGTTTTCACAGTTATGATAATGAATATGGAAACACGAATCTAATTTCGTTTTCACAGTTATGATAATAAATATGTAAACATGAATCTAATTTCGTTTTCACAATTATGATAGTGAATATGTAAACATGAATCTAATTTCGTTTTCACAATTATGATAGTGAATATGTAAACATGAATCTAATTTCTTTTTCACAATTATGACAATGAATATGTAAACAGGATTCTAATTTCGTTTTCACAGTTATGATAATGAATATGTAAACAGGATTCTAATTTCGTTTTCACAATTATGATAATGAATATGTAAACATGAATGTAATTTCGTTTTCACAATTATGACAATGAATATGTAAACATGAATGTAATTTCGTTTTCACAATTATGACAATGAATATGTAAACATGAATGTAATTTCGTTTTCACAATTATGACAATGAATATGTAAACATGATTCTAATTTCGTTTTCACAATTATGATAATGAATATGTAAACATGAATGTAATTTCGTTTTCACAATTATGACAATGAATATGTAAACATGAATGTAATTTCGTTTTTACAGTTACGATAATAAATATGCAAACATGAATCTAATTTCGTTTTCACAGTTACGATAATAAATATGCAAACATGAATCTAATTTCGTTTTCACAGTTACGATAATAAATATGCAAACATGAATCTAATTTCGTTTTCACAGTTACGATAATGAATATGCAAACATGAATCTAATTT